GTGGGTCTTTTTCAATCAGGAGGGAGACGCAAGCTCCCAAATGCTCTGAACTCTAGTTCCAGGCAAGACTCTGGGGACACAGACTCACATGGGGAGAAACTGGACTGTCTGGCTTTGGGCAGAACTTGAGGGCAGCTTTCTCTCAGAGGTGCTTGCAGCTATTACTGAGGGACACTGAGACTCGGGGGCCTTTTAGGGCAGAGCTGAGGATCAGTTATAGCTGTTTGCTCCACCCTGTTGATTATCTGAGACCCCACCCCTCTCAAGCTGTGTGTAGAAGCTTTTGCATATGAATGGCCTGAAATCTAAAATTGAATTTATGAAATTTCAAATGAATTTTGAAATTTAAAATTACCTAGTAAACTGCAGCTTGGTCAGGGGTCCCCAGAATTTCCAAAAGAAGGCCCAAGGCCCCAGAGCAGCTTGCATTGCTTCACAGCTTGGTCTCACCTGGGCACCTCCAAAACCCAAAGAAAAGCAATCTGCAGATCTCTCCTTAGCTCCTACTGGGTGGCCTCAGGTAGAGGCTAAATTAACACCTCCTTGGAGTTCCAAGATCCAGTGTACCTAGGGCTCAGAGTAGGACCATCCAGATTACAACTCCTCAGATCCATAAGGAACACACTCAGGGGGCAGACTCAGTGAGCACCAAAGCCCCACTGAAGCAAGTCTTGCCTCATAGGGTGTCTCCAACACAGAAGTTCTCCCATCATAGACACAGCTGATCCTCACAGCCAATTGACCTGGAGGTCAACTCCTCCCAGTGATAGCAATAACAATCAGTGATTAACTATGACAAGACTGTGCACACAGACCACAAAGGGGTACATCAAGAGGGCCACCTCAAGTAACTGAGGAGGCCAAGCCACTGGGCCCTATAAGACACCCAGCACAAATCCACTCCATCAGCACAGGAAGCAGCCAAAATGCGGATACAAAGAAACAGGTCACAAATGAAAGAAATGGAGGAAAGCAAACTGCTGGATATAGAGTTCTAAAACCACGATTATGCTGAAACTGCTTTAGCTCAGTGGATAGAACGTTGGTCTGTGGACTGAAAGGTCCGAGTTTTGATTCTGGTCAAGGGCATGTACATTGGTTGTGGGCACATCCCCAATGGGTGGTGTGCAGGAGGCAGTTGGTTGATGTTTCTCTCATCAGTGTTTCTAGCTCTCTATCCCTCTCTCTTCCTCTCTATAAAAAAAAATCAATAAAGTATATTAATAAAAAACCATGGTTATATGTTTTTTCAAGAATTTTCTAGAAAAGGCCGATAAATTTAGTGAGACCCTTGAGGATATGAAAAAGGACCAACTAGAAATGAAACATACATTGACTGAAATAAAGATATATATATATATATATATATATATATATATATATATATATATATATATATAAAACAGAGATCCAATAACAGACGAGAGTATCGCAAGGACTTGAAATACAAAGAAGCAAAAAACTCAACTGGGAAAGCAAAAAAGAAAAAAGAATTAAAAAATAAGAAGATAGTGTAAGGAGCCTCTGGGACAACTTCAAGCATACTAACATCCAATTTATTGGGGTGCCAGAAGAGAGAGAGCAAGATATCGAAAACCTATTTGAAGAAATAATGACAGAAAACTTCCCCAACCTGGTGAAAGAAATAGACTTACAAGTCCAGGAAGCTCAGAGAATGCCCAATAAGAGGGATCCAAAGAGGGCCACACCAAGACACATCATAATTAAAATGCCAAAGGCAAAAGACAAAGAGAATATTAAAAGCAGCAAGAGAAAAACGGTTACCTACAAAGGAGCACCCATCCAAGCAGGTCAGATGAGAATGGCAAGAAATATTCAAAGTGATGAATATCAAGAACCTATAACCAATATTACTCTACCCAGCAAAGCTATCATTCAGAATTGAAGGTCAGATAAAGAGCTTCACAAAGCTAAAGGAGTTCATCACCACCAAACCAGTATTGTATTAAATGCTGAAAGGTGTTCTTTTTTTTTTTTTTTTAATATATTTTATTGATTTTGTACAGAGAGGAAGGGAGAGAGATAGAGAGTTAGAAACATTGATGAGAGAGAGTCATCGATCAGCTGCCTCCTGCACACCCCCTACTGGGGATATGCCCACAACCAAGGTACATGCCCTTGACTGGAATCGAACCCGGGTCCCTTCAGTCCCCAAGCCAACGCTCTATCCATTGAGCTAAACCGGTCCTGGCTGAAAGGTGTTCTTTAAGAAGAGAAAGGTAAAGATAAAAACTATGAACAACAAATACATATCTATCAACAAGTGAATCTAAAAATCAAATAAATATGATGAACAGAATAAACTGGGAAATATAATAGAATCAGGAGCATAGAAAGGGAGTGGACTGACAATTCTCGGGGAGCGGGGGCAAGGGGTGTGGGGGGTGCTGGAAGAGATTGAACAAAAATCATTCACCCATGGATGAGGACGGGGTGGGGGGGGTGTAAGGGGAGAGGGTGGGGTGGGAACCGGGTGGAGGGGAGAGGAACAACTGTAAAAATACTTATTTTAAAACAATTAAAAATTAAAAAACAAAATCCAGAGGAAGAAATTGTTTTAGTCACTTAATATGGAGATTGTTTTTGGTACCATGTCAGGAAATGAGCAAATTAATGCCTAATACAAGTTAATTTCTCTGAGAAATATGAAGAGAATTCATTTGGAAAGAGTTCATTTGGCTGGAATTGTATGGAAAGAAGTTTTATAAGTGGGGCAAGAGTTTTGAATATTGCCAAAGCCTTCCTTTTAGCTTTACCTAAAGTGATGTATTACATTATAATAATATATAGATGAAAACAGCAAAATGCACCCCCATACACACTCACAGAAAATGAGAATATGATTATTAAGGAATATTAGACTGCTATGAAGTGCCACTTATATAGGTGGGTCTTTCAACTGGTCTCCTTTTGTGTTTACTATTGGAAGGTAAAGTTGGGAAATGGTAGCAGGGAATTTTTCTTCACTTAAGTCTGAATAAGTAGGTATTTGTGTGAGCATCATCTTAGCCATTCATTATATATATATATATAATACAGATTATACAGATATATATATATGTTATATATATTATACAGATTATACAGATATATATATACATTATTTGTGTATATATATATATATATATACATATATATATTATACAACTTAGTTCTACAAGCAGAAATGTACATTCCAAACATTTTCTACAAGCTTCTTGTCTCCCAAGCGTATCTCTTTCTGCCTCCCCCTTTCTATCTGTGGTATTTTGCAGTGAGCACCCAATACTGGGAGTGATAATTTAAGTCAATAATTTCAAGATTATTTCAATGGGGTAGTAATTTGGTAACTCTCTTGATAGAGAAAAATATATAATTTGGAAATAATTGATCTAACAAGAGAAAAATGGATAGATGCTTAAAAATTGCTTGGGTCACTACATTGTTAAAACAATAAATAATTTGGAGTTCAAGTACCATAAATATAAACAATATAAATACTGTGTGTGTGTGAATTCATAATTTACATTTTAATTACTTATGCTTCGCTCATCTTTTGCATTTGAAATATTTTTCTTATAGTGGAAAATCATAAGGATTAAAAGAAAAGTATTCAATACTGGATTCTTATGGTATAGAAAGAAATTTGTAAACATAGAATATATGTACTACTTTACAATATTTCACTAAATTAGCCTCTCAAGAAAAATAACTCAGTCCGATTACCTCCCAGTCTATTCTTGTGACAGTATTCTATCTTTTAAATTTTATTAGTAGACAACAGTATTTTCAGTGAATGTTATTGATCACTTAAAGCAGTGCCAAAGACTAAGAAATATTGAAGCTTTGCGTAAAATTGAGCTTCTCCCAGGCAAATAAATACCAAGGCTTCAGAGTTTTTATGCCCACCAAAATATAGATTTTTCCCCCATTGATTCAGAAAAAAATGACAACCGTTATTCCCATACATTTAAAATTATACATTTAGGAAGAGGCAATTATATTACAATGACATTGCATTTTAAGAAGCAGCATGGAAGGTGTTACCTCAATTTTATGCGTCAGAAAACAGAACCCATAAAGACTGCCATTTCGCCAGTGTGGCCTGGCAAGACAAAGCTAAAATCAGAGCCAGATTCTTGGTTCCTAACTCCAAACCCTGACTCCTAACCTTCTTTGTTCAAGTATTTAGACTTGGTGGCAGCCTGTGTTAAGTAATTAATTATATTTATGTTTTGACCTCACAGTTTGTGCTCTTGAGTTATAGCACATTTCTTAGATAGTAGAACTCACAGCCAATAGTGTTGTGCTGTCAAACACAGCACAGTGCTCCACTTAGATGAACCACATCTTCTTTTGCTGCTTTGTATAAACCTGGATAAACCTATTTATTAGCCATAAGTCATTTTAAGAAGAAAAATAAAGCTTAGATTTGAGACTTCTTAAAACACAGATCTTTCAGCCCAAGGCAGATTGATTCAGTAACAATGAGGTTCTCATTTCTTTAGCAATCTGTAGAATTTAAGAATATAATTGAAGAGTAAAGAATGGTTAGTATGTAAATATAAAAGGTTCTGCAGATAGAGCCATTTATTGTTGATCTCCTTCTGTTGTGTACCTTCTACTAGCATATGTTGAGATCAAGAAGAAATATCAGATATTGCCACTTGACTCCCTAGGAACTTAGAAGCCAATTGAAGAAACAAAACACACCATGTAATGGGCTGTATGGATTCAGGCAGAGCAACGGGGTCAGAAAAGTGTTTTAGTTTGAGTTGACCCTGAAGCAGATCCTGAGACAAGGATTTGAGTCCATGCATATTTGGGGGAAGGTGGAAAGAGCATGGAAGAAGGGAAAGGAAACAGAACAGAGAAGACAGCCAATAAAGGGAAAATTATTAGTCAGCTATCACCATGGATAGAGGGCTGATGCATGTTTTCCATAGTAGGATTCTTGGTGAAGGTGAGACTTGACAATGCTCTTTCTCATCTCTCCCCAGGTGTCTGCATGTTACTATCCCTATTGTCCATTGTGTATGGAGCCTTGCGCTGCAACATCCTAGCCATCAAGATCAAGTATGATGAATACGATGTAAAAGTGAAGCCTCTGGCCTATGTCTGCATCTTTCTCTGGAGGAGCTTTGAGATTGCTACTCGGGTCATTGTCCTGGTCCTCTTTACCTCTGTCCTGAAGGCCTGGGTGGTACTGGTAATACTCATCAACTTCTTCAGTTTCTTCTTATACCCCTGGATCCTCTTCTGGTGCAGTGGTTCCCCATTTCCTGAAAACATCGAGAAGGCCCTCAGTCGAGTGGGCACCACCATCGTGCTGTGCTTCCTCACCTTACTTTATGCCGGTATCAACATGTTTTGCTGGTCAGCTGTGCAGCTGAAAATCAACAGTCCTGACCTTATCAGCAAGTCTCAGAACTGGTACCGGCTACTGGTGTACTACATGCTGAGATTCATTGAGAATGCCTTCCTCCTCCTTATGTGGTATCTTTACAAGACTGACATCTATATGTATGTGTGTGCACCTCTATTGATTTTGAAGTTGCTCATTGGGTACTGCACAGCCATTCTATTCATGCTGGTATTCTATCAGTTCTTTCACCCTTGCAAAAAGCTCTTTTCCTCCAGTGTTTCTGAAAGCTTTCAGCAGTGGCTAAAATGTATTTGCTGTCACTGCCGGTGGCAGAAATCCTCAGATTCTGTAGGAAAGACAGATGTAAGGTCATCCGGAGACAGAGATGAGACACCTTCTAGTAGTAAAGTAAGTTCTATGCCTAGCCAGATCTTGAATGCTGATGATCTCTACTCTGCTTAATAGGACCTGAGTCTCTTGAGCCAAAGACATATTGTTTTTTGTGTTGATTACTGTTCTTCATACAAGTGATGAGCCCTGCACAGTTAACAAAACAGGAAGTTAACTCTCACCTCCTTGTGAGTTGCTCCCATTTAGAGAACCCTTGAGTGTGTGAGAACTATGAAGAGAAGCTAGGGAAACTTCTGAGTGTTAGAGGAACAGTCTAAGGCACCACCATTCACAGACAACCATGCTCACCCAGGTATTACTGTGTGTGTGTGTGTGTTTTATTTTTTTCCACTGACAAAGTACCCATGATATCTGAGTTGAGCTGGTTAGATTTATCAGGTATAAAGAGGACAGGGGCTTTCTTATTTTCTAGTTTTCTGAACTTTTAGTCTGTGTAGCCTAATGTCTTATTATTCATGAGCATAGTTTTCATCCAAGAGCCCTTGGACTGTTTTCATTTCATTAGGAAGCTTGTCTTGAAGTACATTTTGAGTGACCTCAAATCAGACCAAGAGTGATGGCCTGTCACAGCCCCAAAGCCCAATTATAAGTCACTTATATAAGGACAAAGAGGTTTGGTAACTAAATTGGAAATTTTGTCATCTTTAAACCTTAATATACCGATACCCTTGCTTTGCTGCCATGTGTGTCCATTCATTTTGAGGGAGGAAAACCACTAATTTTTTTCTGCATGGTGAAAATTTGTCATGGTGAACTGAAATGGTAAAATTATAGTTCTTATTGCAGATCTAGGTTGACCTAAAGACAAACAAACCAGCAAATTCCCTCATATGTTGAGTTAAAATATGGTTTTTAGTTAGAATTTCAATTTTAAAAACTCAATGTTTTGTCTAATTAATTATATGCCACAACTTGTCATGACAGCTACTCCAATTAAATTACTATAATTTTGATGGTTAGAAGTGAAATATTTCCTCAAAATATATTGAAATAAGATCAGCAAACATATTTAGACTTTCTTCATTACTGGAGACTGTGCAGTATAGAGATTGCCATCTACTTGGTAAGCCCTACAACTGCTTTATGCCTCAGTTTCCTTACCTACCAAATTTGGATAATATGCTTGCCGAGCCTACCTCACAAGGTTATTGGAAAGATCAAATTAAATTATAGGTGTGAAAATATTTTTAAAGTGCCATGTATATTGAAGGAGTTTTTATTATAGTTATTCAAATCCATAAACAGGTTATTATTATTTTTTTACTGTTAGAAAAGAAACAACATCATCTGCATAAGTGTCTCTAGTGAATATGTTGGCATTTGCCCTTATGAAAGGGCAAGAGTGTAAATTGCCTTTACTTTTGGAGAAAACACAGCCTTTGTCCATCTCTTACCATTAGTTACTTACAAAAATTGTCACCCAAACACATAGTTCATGGAGGGAAAAGACCCACTGCAATCTGAGAAATTGTTTTTGATGGCATCTTTCATAAGGGACATAACAGTCCCTTTTGGTAATTTATAACTTGAGTGCTTGAATGTGGGTTTAATCTTTTCAGCATTGTAAATGGGAAAATGCTGCATTTCCTTGGAAACCACCTTGGAAAATTAGTGCTAATGTTATGTGTGAATGTGTCAGTATTTCTCAGCCAGTAAATTGTGGATGTGAATTTTATAGGCTGCTTCTCTGCAGCCATTGATGCTAATAAATGTTGTTTATGTTTCTTCATTTAATAAATTACTTTTGCAATTTCCTCTTTCTTTGCATTCTTTATATGGTCCTTTTATGCCTTTTTAACTTCAGGGAATGTTTTAAAAACAGGAATTTGAAAATTATTCTGTTGTAATTAATTAGTTTTATAACCTCACCTGGAAATTCTTTCTGTATGATGAGAAACTTGAGTGTTCTAGGATTCTGTTTTGTAAGACCAACAGCCACAGAATCTACTATGATTGTTTTTTATAAGCATTTACTCTATTTGTTAAAGCTGCATTGCTGTTCGATTACTGTGTGACACAAAGAAATAAGGTAATAGACATCTCTTCTAGACAAATATAAATAGTGTGCTGATTCAGAAATATAAAATACCAAAGGGGTGATTTGATATTAACATAAACAAATAAATGTAGGTGATGACCCATGGTTGGAACAATCATCAGTTATGACACAGACATGGATTATTTCAAGAATTCCTTTTCTTCTAAAAGTGGCCTTACAATTTGGAAAGGCTTAACTATAGGATGCATCTTTTTTTTAAATTTATTTTTACATATTTTATTGATTTTTTTTGCCCCCCTCCCTCCCGCCCACATATCCCCTCCCTCCCCAGAGTTTTATGTCCATTGGTTGTACTTATATGCATGTATACAAGTCCTTGGGTTGATCTATTATCTCCCCCAGATCCTCCTCCCCTCCCCACTGTAATTTGACAGTCTGCTTGTTGCTTTACTGTCTCTATATCTATCTTTTGGTTCATCAGTTTATAATGTTTTTTATTGTCCACAAATGAGTGAGGTCATGTGGTGTTTCTCTTTCATTGACTGGCTTATTTCACTCAGCATGATGTTCTCCAGTTCCATCCAGGTTGCTGCAAATGATGAGAATTCATTCTTTTTTATGGCAGCATAGTATTCCATTGTGTGGATGTACCATAGTTTTTGGATCCAATCATCTGATGACGGGCACGTAGGCTGTTTCCAAATTCTGGCTATTGTAGATTGTGCTGCTATGAACATAGGGGTGCATATATCCTTTCTGATTGGTGTTTCTAGTTTCTTGGGATATATTCCTAGAAGTGGGATTACTGGGTCAAATAGGAGTTCCATTTTCAGTTTTTTGAGGAAACTCCACACTGTTCTCCACAGTGGTTGCACCAGTCTGCATTCCCACCAGCAGTGCACGAGGGTTCCTTTTTCTCCTCAACCTCGCCAACACTTGTTGTTTGTTGATTTGTTGATGTTGGCCATTCTGACAGGTGTGAGATGGTACCGCATTGTTGTTTTGATTTGCATCTCTCGGATAATTAGTGACTTTGAGCATGTTTTCATGTTTCTTTTGGCCTTCCTTCTGTCTTCTTTTGGAAATATTCTATTTAGGTCCATTGCCCATTTTTTAATTGGATCATTCATCTTCCTTTTATTTAGTTGTATCAGCTGTCTGTAGATATTGGAGATTAAACCTTTATCAGTGGTGTTATTTGCAAATACGTTCTCCCACACCGTGGGCTTTCTTGTTGTTTTGTTGATGGTTTCTTTTGCTGTAAAAACCTTTTTATTTTGATGTAGTCCCATTTGTTTATTTTCTCTTTAGCTTCTATTGCCCTAGGGGCAGTATCAGTGAAGAAGTTCTTTTGGCATATGTCTGAGATTTTGCTGCCTGTGGGTGCTTCTAGTATTTTTATGGTTTCCCGTCTGATGTTTAGGTCCTGTATCCATTTTGAGTTTATTTTTGTGTATGGAGTAAGTTGGTGATCTAGTTTCATTCTTTTGCATGTGTCTGCCCAATTTTCCCAACACCATTTATTGAAGAAACAGTCTTGACTCCATTGTATATTCGTGCCTCCTTTGTCAAATATTAATTCAGCATAGTGATTTGGGTTGATATCTGGGTTCTCAATTCTATTCCATTGATCTATATGTCTGTTCTTGTGCCAGTACCAGGCTGTTTTGAGAACAGTGGCTTTGTAATACAGTTTGAAGTCTGGTATTGAGATCCCTCCTACTTTACCCTTCTTTCTCAGGATTTCTGTGGCTATTGGGGGTCTTTTATTGTTCCAAATGAACTTTTGGAGAGTTCTTTCTAGGTCGGTGAAATATGCCATTGGTATTTTAATGGGGAGTGCATTGAACCTATAGATTGCTTTAGGAAGTATGGACATTTTGATGATGTTGATTCTACCAATCCATGAACATGGTATGTTCGTCCATCTCCTTACATCTTCCTCTATCTCTTTTTTTAGTGTCGTGTAGTTTTCCGCATATAGGCCTTTTACCCCCTTGGTTAAGTTTATCCCAAGGTATCTTAATTTTTTTGGTGTCATGGTAAATGGGATTGCCTTTTTAGTCTCTGTTTCTGCAAGTTCACTATTGGTGTATAGAAATTTCATAGATTTCTTAGCGTTACTTTTGTATCCTGCTACATTGCCAAATTCATTTATTAAGTCTATTAGTTTTTTGATGGAGTCTTGGGTTTTTTAATAATATCATGTCATCTGCAAATAAGGATAACTTTACTTCTTCTTTTCCAATTTGGATGCCTTTTACTTCCTCTTCTTGTCTAATTGCAATGGTTAGTACTTCCAGTACTATGTCAAATAGGAGTGGTGAGAGTGGGCATCCCTGTCTTGTTCCTGTTCTTAGAGGGAATGGTTTTAGTTTTTTCCCATTGAGTATGATGTTGGCTGTGGGTTTATCATATATAGCTTTTATTATCTTGAGGTATAATCCTCTATTCCCACCTTCTTGAGAGTTTTTATCAGGAAAGGGTGTTGGATTTATCAAATGCTTTTTCTGCATCAATTGATATAATTATACAATTTTTATCTTTCAATTTGTTTATGTGATGTATCACGTTTATTGATTTGCGGATATTGTACCATCCTTGCATTTCCTGAATAAATCCTACTTGGTCGTGCTGCATGATCTTTCTGATGTTCATCTGGAGCCTATTTGCTAGAATTTTGTTGAGGCTTTTGGCATCTAAGTTCATGAGGGATATTGGCCTGTAATTCTCTTTCATTCAGTTGTCTTTATCTGGTTTAGGTATTAGCGTGATGCTGGCTTCATAGAAGGAGTTTGGAAGTGTTCCTAACTCTTGAATTTTTTGGAATAGTCTGAGGAGGATAGGTTTTACTTCTTCCTTGAATGTTTGGTAAAACTCTCCTGTGAAGCCATCTGGCCCTGGGCTTTTATTTGCTGGAAGTTTTTTGATGTCTGTTTCAACTTCTTCCCAAGTCACTGGTCTATTGAGATTTTTAGATTCTTTCTGATTGAGTTTTAGAAGATTGTATTTTTCTAGGAATCTGTCCATTTCCTCCAGGCTGTCCAGTTTG